TCGATCAATAAAACTTAAATTACTTTAAATGTTTGATGTGTCGAAACTCAAAAGGTTATCAACTACTTACAGCCAGAGTTGTTGGATTAACATGAGAAGTAAGATCTTGTTTGATAGGTCCACCTGTTCTGAACTCATTGCTTGGCGTAATTTGCCAGAATCCCACAGGAGGATCTAAGCAAATGAAGCCATGGACTTTGTTATCTTTGTTCTCACATGAATACTGATACTTGTCATCAACCTACTCATTGGAAGGAAAACATAAATCCTGAGGCTTAAGTACTAAGTGATTATACTTATCAAAGAAGAAGCACATTTTCACGCCAACAGAAAATGTTATATATACTTCTCCTTTAAATTCTGGCTCCACAGGATCGACTAGCTGGACGGCTTCTGGATATGCCAATTCCTTCCCTCTTGGAGGTACCCGATCTTCAGGAAGGGGCATTAGTCTTTGCCTATCATCTGCCATAGCCATGTACCGAAACCTAAAAGTTGGATACAAGTACATCACTTCATCAGTAATTCAGCAGTTTTGTTGATGAAACAAGTACTTTTTTGTCTTGTAAGAGAACAACATTAAGCTTTCAGAAGTTCCAATTCTTGATTGAAAAAGAAGTTTTTATACAGAGGGAGAAATAGTACTTTTCGATGCTGAGCATGAAAGCTATCCTGGTTTCGTTGAGGTTGAATGCTGGCATATTCTCTTTGTGTTCATAAATAGCATAAGAGTAAAAACCAGGCGAATCACGAAGAATTATGTACCTGAAATTACCATATCTCAGTGCTGCTAAAGAAATGACCACAATAAACTCTACTTTAAACATGAGATATATTATATATGCATGTGTATGAAAAAAAGACACACAAAAAAACTTGAACCTTATGTCTATGGTTAACGGGGATTGGTCGCCCTGAAGTGAAGGATCCCATGTCCTTGTAAAGGAGAGCTCTATCTGTTCTTCAGTTTCCACTATAACTTTAAAACTATTACATTCAATCCTGCATAATAGCTAATTATGAACACCGATATAGAAATTATGATAAGTAATATGCATCACTAGATCATGGTTATTTTGTGGTTTAAGGGGAAATATTATACTCATCAAATTTTCCTCTTGTTCCAGAAGTTCCAGGTACACTCCAGTTTAAGTCCCAGAACCTGCATATCAATTGTAAAGTAGCTAAAATAATAAGTGACTTCTCGCTACATGAACTCAATATACAGAGAGTGCTAACTTACATCTTTTTCTACTTTTAAGTTTTCTCCAACTAACGTAACATTGTTAATGGTCAAAAACACACCTGAACCATCACTTTTTCGCAATTTCATACTTCAACTATCCATTGTTCTATTTACTACCTGAATTATCACTCTTTTTGTATTAAAACACACCTCGATGCTGAGTTGACCTACACAAGACTGTTATCAAGTGAAAACAATATTTGGCCACTCAGCATAGGTATGTTTAATATAAAGGTAATGATAGTTTAGGTTGGTACGTAAAGGAAATAACAGATAGTTAAGGAATGAAACTCTCAAAAAAAAGAAGATAGTTTAAGTGTGTTTTTGACCATTAACTCTTGTCATAAGTTGATACACTCTCAGATCTGCTAATATAATTATTAATGTTTGAGACAATATATGTTTTCTTTGGCGAACATTTGTACTCACCAACAAAACACTTGAAAACATTTTTCATGAGAAATGACTTTCATCCTACCAAACATACACCGAAAAGGAACAAAAAAAGTAGAATTCGTGCAGTTTACCCTCCATTCAAGATTGGGTTGTTGAGTTCCAACAAATTTTCAATCCCATTATATTGAATTCCAATGATTTTTCCTCCTGGATTTGTCAATCTGAGTTGGAATATGCCATTATCTATTACCACCTGCACTTAATAAAACATATCAAAATGGCTCTACTTGTTGCAACTTCAGGTGTTGAATGAATTAAAGACCATATTTTAGTCCTTGTTTTGGCTTATCTGATAAAAACACAAGTACTACAAGAAGGTCAAAATGGGCGGGTCAAGATGAGCTAAGCTAATTAACCCATCCAAACATAAAAGGGTTGGACGGGTCAATTTTGACACTTCCAGTACAATCAAAGTTTTTTTTTTTTTTTTTTGGTTATTCCATTCGGTGTCTAATATTTATGTTAGAGTTGGACTAAATCTGAATTCATATTTGAAAAGTCTCATATTGGAGGCTAAACCACTCCTTAACAAAGACGACTCCATTACCACGAGACTCATACCTGACACCTCTAGTTAAAGAAGAGCTAAAGCTGAGACTTCTAGTTAAAGATGAATGTCTACTTATTACCTTTCGCCAAAACCTTTGACTGTATTAACCAACAAATATGACTCTTATATACTCAGATGTCCTGGGTTCGAGCTTTAAAAATGACAAAAATTCTTCTCTCTTTATGAGCCTTACAGTAAGTAATATATAGTCTATCCTCCCAACCTAAATATTATGAATGAAAAGAAATAACTGCACTATTTATATGAGAAATAATAATATATTAATATTATATACTGTACTTGGTCCTCTGGCTGAAGAAGCTGCAGAACTGGAGTTGATATTTGTGAACGCTTTGGTACAATCATTATGCAAAACAGAACTTGGAGAAGCTAGAAAGATTCTTTAATATTGAACTAAACCTGCACAAATATATAAGTTCAATGAGTATAAGAAACTTAGAATTTCTTTAGGTGGATAAGGAAGATATATATATATATATATATATATATAGGTGACAAAATTAGCCAATGAAATCATAACTTGCCTATGCCCAAGTTTAAGTGGATTATTGACCCGTCTATTTATTAGCTAAGCCTATTTAATTCAGTCTATCAAAGTTTGGGCTGATTATTGACTCGTTCATTTATTAGTTAGCCCATTTTAGACTCTCAAAGTTTGAATTGATATCTAATCCAAATTGAAACATGAGAAATTATTAAAATATTTAGTAAAAATTGACAGGTTAAATTTTGATTTGCATTTTAATTTATTTCAGCCCTAGTTATTTTTCCAAGGGTTAGTAACCTGTCAATTTATTAAGCTCAAATTATCTTGACCTATTCAAATTTAACCCAATTCGCTCATTTGACACGTATAAATATACCATCCTCCCCTACTCCTAGTAAAGGATTCGTTTTCTTTCCTTAATTTGTTCATGTTTGAGTGTCTTTACGCCAAAGCTACTCCTATGTACAAGCCAATTGTGTCTTTGACAAATTAGACAATCACAACTCAGAAGGCATGAACAATCCTTCTCTCTTTGAGCTAACTTTTGGGGTTCAAGTTAGATCTAAAACCTAATTTAACAGTAAGCCTCACAAAACAAAGCCCGAGATTAATAAGTTATTCCATTATACATATGAATGACTTATCCCATCACTAAGATATAAATGACGGGATAATAAGTTATTCCAACATATATATGTGATGACTTATCCCATCTAGATATAAATGATGAGATAATAATCTCAAGACTGTCTAATACTTCAAACCAAATGCATAGATTATTATAGGCATAATGCATAAATATGATCCTTAATTTGATTACAGTAATCAACTATGACCTTTAACTTTGATAGTGCACAAATAAACACTTAAACTTAGTTGTCAGCTGAAGCCAAGTTAAGAACTATATTTATGTATTATGCATTTATTATACCTTATACGTTATGATTTCTAAATATATGAATTAGATTTGGTATAATTATTTTTTTCAGATTTTTTAATGAAATTATAGTATGTTATTGTTGTATCGCCTTCCCAAATGCCAGCCTTTACTTTCCTTGTGTAATATTTCCTTGTCTCTATCTTAAAGCAACATCACATCAACTTTTGTCATTCTGGCAGCATTCTCGACGCAGCAAGGAATGTGCAAAAGTTCTGTTTGAAGGCAGGGGCCAAAACATAGTGAATATTATACAATTCTCTCTTCTACCAATACATATTTGAAGATACCAAAAAGAGAAAAGAACAAGACACGTGAATGCTACAGCCTATAGACAACAAAGAAAAATTTATAATTTAATTTAATCTAATATGAATATTTATTATAATGTTTGTATTAATTAATTAATTTATAGTCTTAGGTTTATTAGTATAATTTGAGAAATAAGTAATCAATATTAAAAATAAAATATGCTGTAATTCTTTTTTATTTTAAATGTGACAAAATAAAAATGAAAAAATATTTTTTGGATACTAGATAGATAAAAAGTGAACTGAGGTACCCTTCGGGGTGGCCCAGTGGTTTGGGCTTGAGACTTCTATGTTGAAGGTTTCAAGTTCGAAATCCCTTGCCAACGAAAGTAAGGTATTTGCCTTCTTGATTGAGCTCGTCACATCGGACTTGCCTAGTGCGAGTTACCTCAACTATGTGATTAGCGATTTTTGCACCAAAACAAAAAAGTGAGCAGAAGCAGCAACTAGCATATTACTTATTTTGAGAAGGATTCAAGCTAAGATAGTTTCGTTTAGGGAATCAAACAATTTTTATAATCAAAACTATTAAATTATTATTTTTAAGAATTTAAATTCCATATATTGACGTTGTTAAATGTACCATATTTTTTTCCTTTTCCCTCTGAATTTTCTGATCATGGACTAACAAATGCTTGGTTACTATTGCTTTTAGTTGGGAATTTAACCAAGGTGAAATCAGCCTTTTTCCTTATTAAAAAAATACTGTAGAAGAGAAAAAATAAATAACAAGAAAGAATGTTAGAGAGTTACATACTATGTGCCAAAAATCCTTAAAATAATTGATATGGAACAATGCACAAAATTCAAAAGAAGAAGAAGAAAATGATAAACATTGGTTGATAACATTCAAAGAAATTAATTAGTACATACTATATGCCAACATTTGGATCGATATGCATGCATAGAGAATCTACGCGAATCTGTTCTTTGTTGGTCTATATTACTTAAACTTTTATAAAAGTTAAAAATAATATAATATCTATACAATGAATTCTCAAACAATTTGCCTTAGTCATGGGAAGGAGGTCCTTCTAAACGAATATAATCGTACATGATCCCTTGAAAAGGACTAGTTGCATTTGCTTGTGTCAAATATATAGTATTTTCCCCTTCAATTAGTATAGTACCCTGCAAATTCACATTGAACAGCCAGTAGAGTCCATGAATTCCATGTCTTGCTATCGCATTATCCTTCCCTATCACTCCACTTGAAAATAGAGGAGTATTCGTGCTTGAATTATCATTGACACGAACCTACAAGTTACATTTCAATGATTTCTTGTATCGTTGACTCGATAATACTCTAATGGTGATAAGAAAAAAATGATGTGAAATTAACATTGTGCTATATGTACCTGTAGTTCAGCTTGAGCTGCTGATGCAAGTGCCAATCTTAGTGTATAGATTTCATTTTGATCAACATTGTCGAGTTTGAACTTTATTTGCCATGTTGTTCCTTGATATGTCTTCTCATCAGTTTTCCTAACATGCCCAAAAAACACGAAAAAAAGGAAGAAAATTCATGTTTCATTTCATTGAAGACATCGAATATTAGGTCTAATTAGTGATTTAGCTGTTTTTTACCTAGTGACTTGAACAAAGAACCATTCTTTTTTGTAGTCACTCTCTCCAATTGTAAAGACTATATCCCCATTTGGATACAAGTCGGCGTATCTCTCCCATAGCCCATACTGTCTAAACCTGAGGACGTTGATGATGATGATGATCAACGGTGAGATGAAGAGAAAAACATTAAACTTATGAGGGAGGAGAAAGCTAACCTATCAGGATGATTAATAAAGAGTTTGTTAACATATTTTGGATCAGGATCAGGAATGTAAAACTCGCGAGCAGAACGATCAGGAATGCCAATTTCCCAGAGTGTAGGTCCATTTCTTGGGGGTTCAAAGACGAGATCATCCATCTCAATGCTGCAGCCTGATTTATAACATGTTAATTTTTGGCTCATAATCTCGAAAAGTTTGAAATAATGGTCTACTTGCCAAAATGGAAAATTAGTACCTGAGGTAATTGTGATTTTGATATCGTACTTGTAGTCTCCAATGAATCCAGGGACATATGCATACAAGTTATAGTCGCCTGCTCGTATATTACTTATGACGTAATTGCCTTCCTCATCTGCTCTTGTCCAGAATTGGTAGTCCTGATTAACATCAACGGTTGAAATTGTTGAACAGAAAACAAATTCTAAGTAGTTTTCGAGTACTGATTGAGTTTTTATGTTCTCCTGAATCACCTTGCATTCTCTTTGCCAGGAACCAGCTTCTCCTGGTGGAGCTAAACCAACATATGCACCAGAAGCAGATATCTTATCGTCTTTCAAGTATCTAAGTAAAACAAACGAGAATATAAATAGAACCAATGACCATAGAGTAAATGGATCCTCCAAAAGAAAAATGAAATTATGGCAACAACAGAGGCGGAGCCAGAATTTGAACTTTTTAGGTCCTAAATTCTAAAATAGCGATATCAGGTATTAGTAATTGGGTTCTGAATTTTGTTTTTTATACATATTTAGTGGATTTTTAATACAGATAGTGTGTTTGGACTAAAGTTACTAGGTTCGACAAACCCATAGGCAACCTTCTATCTCTGCCCTTGGATAACATTAGAGCAAATTAGCGAATAATACCTGTCTAGGACTAACAGTCTTCCACTAATATTACCGCGTTGAGACGATGATGGAAAATCCTCAGAGGCTGGAAAACTGAAAGGCCAGCTTTGAACTTCCATCAGCATCTGGTTTTTGCATTCAGTGCTTAGATAATCATGTTACCTTATATAAAGAAAATCTCAAAGATACCATTTATGTTCAGTTTTTTGTACAAAAAAATAATCTGTTTTACTTAATTATACCTGTTTTTTAGCATCCTCCCAGAGAGTAAGAGGATCCTCCCCTGAAGTGACAGAATTCAGATATATAAAAACTGGTCCAAAGACTTTTTTCCATGGCTCCCCTTGTCTAAACTTTGGAACCAAATCTTCTCCTGCATAATGAGCACTGAGAAACACCTGCAAAAAGAGGCGAGAGTCGGGATTTAAACTTTATGAATTTTAAATTCTAGAATAATGATATCAGGTGTTAGTAATTGAGTTCTGAATTCAATTTTTGTACATATTTAGCGAATTTCTTAATACTAATATATTAGTTTCCAGCTCCGCCCCTGCATGCAAAATAACATCTCTTGACACAATCAAGAAAGACAAGAAAATGTGTTAAAGGCTTGTGATTATGTTACTTACAGAAAGAGCAGTTGGACCAACATGAGATGTGAGGTTTTGTTTAAGGGGTCCTCCAGATCGAAATTCGTCACTGGGAATAATTATCCAGAATCCTAGTGATGGATCCATACAAATCCATCCATGGACCTTGAGATCTTTGTCCTCACATGAGTACTGATACTTGTCATCAACCTGATAGCATTATCAATCAAGAAACCTTATGAAATTGATTAATTGGACAATATTGCCTCTTTGCAACGAGTAAAAAGAAGTACTAACAAACTTAAGACGAGAGCACATTTTTAATTACTTAATTATATTATATCTCAATGCCACATCCTCTCGTGCAGAGTTGATTCTTTTTGTCATGAGCCAAGCATGTTAGAATATATATATTTTTTGGACGGAGAGATTGATATATGAATATATGACTAGTGTATGCTCTGATACCATGTTGAATTGTGTATCATCTCATCCAAAACTTATGCCGTTAGAGAGAACATGTTTGTAATTTCTTGATTAAAATATATCTCTACAAATGACAGAAGAAACAAGGTACCTCGCCTTTGAACTCAGGCTCGATGGGATTGACAAGCAGGACTGCTTCTGGATAAGCAAGTGGTTGCCCTCTATCCGGTAACCTGTCATCAGGTAAGGGCATGTATCTCTGCCTGTTATCTTCCATTGCCATGTAATGAAACCTGGTTGACGTTCAAGATTAGACAGTTAAACATCCTTGTAGTCAACGAAGATATAATTAAGAGATTTGACAATGCGTCTGTGATGTATACAATGATGAAGTGTGTGACCATCTCATCTAAAAACTTGAGTTGTTAAAGAGAGCACACTTTAATCATTTAATTGTATTCTCAACATACAACAACTACGTCTCAGTCCCAAACAAGTTGGGATCGACAATGTGTCTGTGAGTATGAAGACAAAGCGAATATTTACTTGTCTTTTCTGAGCTTGAATGCAATCCTAGTTTCATCAAGGTTGAAATCAGGCCATCCCTCTAAATGTTCATAAATTGCATAAGAATAGAACCCCGAGGAACCTTTAAGCATTATAAACCTGTACATCATCAATCTAATTAGTCATCAAGTATCATCTCAAATCCATTTACTATTCAAAAAAATGCAACCAGATGTTTAAACAACGAAAAGAAAACTAAGAAAAAAAACAACCTTTTGTCTATGTTCAGGGGAATAATCTCGTCCTGAAGCGACACATCCCATGTCCTTGAGAAGGACAACTCTATTTGATCATCTGTTTCCAATATGACCTTATATGTTGTGCATATGAGCCTACATTATATAAGTGACACAATTTTATTTCTTCAAAACACTTTTTATTTTACAAAATAAGTTTATTGTTTGAGATTCTTTGTCTATATATACGAGGTATGACCTTTCAAATGTTCCAGTAGTCCCTGTAGTTCCTGTCGAACTCCAAACAACGTCCCAATATCTAGAGAAAGCATTACATTTACACATTGTTACATTCATCAAAAAGGAGAACTTACTTGATTCATTTTCCACAAGGGAAGTTAAATATGAGTTACTTACCCTCTGTTTGTTTCATCATTTAGAACCTCAAGCAAATTATCAACGCCATTGTATGTAATTCCAGTTACAATGCCATCTGGTACTGATAAAGTCACTTGGAGAATGCCATTGTCCATCACCACCTGAAGAATTTTATCATAAAAAATCCAACTTTGTAGTGTTTTTTATTATTGTGCAAGTAACATAGTTTAGTAACTTTACTCCCTACAAAAACATCACTATTTTCCATTGAAATTTTTCACTGAAAAATGTTCACAGGCTACTCTCATAGATATTTTGATTGAGGAAAGATAAATGCCCAATAACTATTCGCAGTATTTCAGTGAAAATATATTTTCCACCTGCATTTTTCCAATGAGCTGGTTCGATGGAAATATAGTGGGAAAATCATGTTTGTAGCATAAATTTGAAAAAAAAAAAACTGTTTCCGGTAGTAGTTGTTACATAACTAGTTTTGTGATTTTAGTGTTCAAAAAATATAGTTTTATGGCCTTAATGTTAAAAAGAGTAAGTTTAGTGATCATATGTGAAATTAACTCGGACATAGTTATAGTGATCATATGTGAAATTAACTCGGACGTAGTTATAGTGATCATATGTGAAATTAACTCGGACATAGTTATACATGAGAAAAAAATATTTCTTCAAAATGATATAGTGACGAATAAATTACATGGTGATCATCGGGAAGATGTAGATGTACTCCTGGAGCAGTCATTAATCTTAGCTTCTTCTTAATTCAATACTGCAAAAATGAAAAAAATAATAAAATTTTCATTTTATTCCCCAAGAAATTGAAATCCTAAAATATGACATAAAAAAAGAATAAAAAAGAAAGAAATATTATTTGACCTCTTCTTGCAGTTTGGCAGAAGCAGAATAATGTAAGGTATTAATATGCATATGTTTGATTCACACTTCCCTTGAAAGGTAATAATTAAGTAAAAAGAAAACAAAGTTTGAATATGTGATATAAAATCATTATTTGAAATTATGATTTGAAATTTTGTTTGGATAAATAATTTGAATCTTTTAAATTGTATTTTTTTTCCTTCATAAATATAAAGCCCCATAAATTGTGAAAACAATCAAAATTTTCTAAATTCTTATACAATCTTACTAAATAAGCAAATCATAACTCATAAATAATATATCATAATATCCTAAGGCGCTGCATTGATACATCACATCTCTCGATGTTTCTCTTATAAATAAATATTTGTGATTACAAACTTTAAAATACACATAATTTTATAAAGATTTACTAGTCAATAGCAGTAATAACTAGTTATTCTTAAAAATAATCCTATCAGATGATACGAACAATCTCTTCACGCGAAGTATGAGTTTTTTTTTTTTTTAACAAAATTTGAACACATGGTCAAGTTTTACATTTAATTTTTTTTTTTAAATCATGATTAAAAATCCCAAATCATATTTTTTTTTGGACTATTTAGGATTTAAAATCATGATCTCAAATCATGACTTCACATCGCGTGTTCGATCGAAAACTTAGCTTACTCGTCAACACTGGTTTGGTACAATAACTCATATATTTCTTTTGGCGTGTAAGAATGGACAAGGGGGAGTGTGCCAAGTGCCAACTGATCATGAAATCACTACTTATATGTGGGACACTGATGGGAATTTTAGAGTAGTAGTTAAATTACTTGCCCAATGGAAAAAAAAAAGTGAATTTCAAGTCAAAAAATGATAACACGTTGAAATTGAAGAAAGATCAAACGTGACTCAATAAAGATGGGCCTAACCCATCGGTAGCCCCTTAAATTTGATACAAAATTTCATTTTATCTCTTCTTCTTTCCCATTTTCAGTCACCATTTCTGAAACTTAAACAGCCAACTATGGTGAATCAAAATAGTTACCATAAACAATTGAAAAATGATGGAAATTGTTTTAGAAATTTAGAAATGTACCATTTCAAGATTTACTTAGTAAATTAATTTATGAGAATCTTTCCCAAAAGGATTGAATATTTACATAGAAGTAATTTTTATTTTTATTTTTGTGAATCTGCTAATTAGGGGAAAAAAGAGACAAAAAGATATTTTAAAAAAACACTAATAAAGGAGCAGTGTGTAGGTTGGCATGTTTCTCATGTTTTTGCAAGTATTTGGAGAAGAAAATCGCCTTGGGGGGCAGGAGAACGGGGTGTGTGCATATATTTCTGGAAAATGGGTGGGAGTATTTCTGCAAATGGACTGGGGTGTTTGGAGAAGAAGACTATGGGGGTGGGTGAGGGAATTTTATTGGCTAAATTTTTTTTTAAAATTATTTGGGCAAAAATCCATATGTCAATATTCATTGGTTACTTTTTATTTTTACTCAAAATTTATTGTTTAAGAATTGTTTTTGACACAAATGACAAATGTCATCGTTTAATTTGTCACTTTACACGTCATTTGCGAGTGTAACACACACACTTCATATATTTTTGTTGATTGGAAAAAGAGTGTCAAAATGATATAGCGGTACCATACATGAGGTGTCTAAAATAAACATCGTCCAGTTGAGATGTCTAATTGAAACTTTGTGCCAACTTCAAGGGGCCACCGATGGGTTAGGCCATAAAGATGATATTGATCTCAACATACATGGCTCGTAGCTCCCGTCACCCGAAGGACGAGACCTATAAGGTGTGTTTGGTATGAAGAAAAATGTTTTCTTGAAAAATCTGAGTCATGTGCTTGGCCTCGGAGATGTAATATTGAGAACATCCTAGTGGCCGGCCGGTCAAAACAAATCCCATTGTTTGGTCATCTCAATTTCGTGTCCGTGAACCACATCAACAAGTTCAATTGTTATTCTAAGTCACAAATTTAGGAGTAAACAGTCGGGTTAAAGATAAGAGTTAGACAAGTTTCTAGGCTGACAAGCTTATGATGAAGGGGTGCACATTGACACCTTAGGCAATGCAATATCACATGATTGTAGGAGAAAAGTGAAAAACTTTACAAGATATGATACAACTTTACACGTTACATGCATTTTTGAACTCAATGATAATGTAGCTTAAAAGACAAATTTATAAGGTTTGTTAGGCAAAAACAAACAATACATATCATTGGTTGTGGTGTGACATGTAATTAGTTACATCCTCAATATTGTGAGAGTTGATTTCAATATGATACAATCTATTCAAACATTATATTCATTCAAAATAATACAATACAATATGCAATACAACCAAATAGAGTGTTAGAATTATACTATTATTTGCTTAGTTTGGTGGTGCTTCGAGACGAATATAGTCATACATAATCCCATGGAAAGGACTTTGGCGTCTTGGTTGGCCTAAGTATATGGTGTTGTCCCCTGTCATTAACAGATTCCCATGTATGTCTATATTGTACAGCCAGTATAATCCATGAATTCCATGCCTAGCAATTGAGCTGTCATTTCCAATCAATCCGGTTGTAAATAGAGGCTGGTTTGTGCTCGGATTATTCACCCGAACCTGCAAATACAAGAATATAGTAAGGGACTTTCTGGTGTGAACTCTAATTCTGTTTTCAGTCATTTAGAAAGTATTTGATACTTCAGTCATAACTCGTACGTGCTTTCCTTTTAAGCTTGTTGCAAAGAGAACATTTCTTTCTATATTTAGTAACTCTTTAACTTCAACATCCCAAGTGACATGTTTAAGACCACAATATGTACGTTACACACATATTTACCTTAAGATCACAAGGAGTCAAAAGTCTTTACATAACTTTTGTTAAACTTTATGTCCAATCAAACTAAAACACATAGTGAAATGGAGGGAGTAATTGACTACAAATTGCAAATTGCAGTTTACATAAATAGGGATCAGTGTACCTGCACTTCAGCTAAAGATGCAGATGCAATTGCAATGCGCAATTTATACATTCCACTTTGATTGACTGAATCAAGTTTGAATATGATTCTCCATGTCGTTCCTTGATACGTGCCATCATTGTTACTCCTACACATAAGATGGTTTCTGCTTAGTTCTGCTTCCCAATTTATATGATCACACTTTTTTGAAACATTGTAATTTGAAACGAGGAATTTAATATAGCATTTCAGTTTTCAACTCATCAGATTGCTGATTAGATTACCTTGGAACCTGAACAAAAAACCAGTCTTTTCTATAGTCACTTTTTCCAATTACATACTCAAGGTCATCGGTTGGATGTAACTCGGAGTACCTATCCCACAATCCGTATTGCCTAAACCTGCCAATTAAAGATCTGATGACATTAGAGAAAGAGAATGGAATTGTATTAACTATGTGGAGTTAATTTATCATTCTGTGTTCAACTCTAGAGGAAATAACAAGTAAGGCCAATACATAAAGGTAGGTTAATAACCTGTCAGGATGATTGATGAAAAGCTTATTGATGAATTTCGGGTTAGGGTCAGGAACAAAAAACTCTGCAGCAGTACGATCAGGAATCCCTATTTCCCATAATGTGGGGCCATTTCTTGGAGGCTGATATACGATATCGTGCACATTAATTCTACTACCTGTTTGCATGTATCACGCGATCCATGAGATTCAGAGTTTTTGTTTGAAGAATAGGAGTTGAATTGGAGTCAAGACCTGGAGTTATAGAAATGAGGTTCTTATATACATAGTCCCCAATGAATCCAGGGACCCATGCGTAAAGATTGTAGTGACCGCGACATATATTTTTTATAGAGAAGTTTCCATTGTTGTCTGTTTTAGCCCAAAATTGGTAGCCCTGAAACAGAAAACACTAAGCCTTCAGTTTTACCTTTCAAATTTTTGAGTTAAGTAAATCATTTATACTGAAATGCAATGTCAAACAGAGCATTCAACTTTAGGAGGGGATTTCTCTGCTTGTCATTGGATCGTAATATCAAGTTCACATCTAGATCTACAATCATCGTCATCATTCAGGACCGATATGCTAGAAGTCATCTTGCTTGTTTTTTGCAAACATTTTGGGAACATGTTTAATTTGTTGATAGATATTTAGGTTAGAAAAAAGACCTTGCATTCTCTTTGCCATGAACCAGCTTCTCCTGGTTGAGCAAGCCCAACATAAGCGCCATTTGCTGGTATATGACCATGACTCTTGTACCTATCAAAAGTAGTTAAAAATCCATAGAAAATCATATTTACTTTTTGTTTGAATACATATTTTCAAGAAAACTATGTTATGTCCTTACTTGTCTTGTACCAAAAGTCTACCACTAGCATTGCCTCTTTGATTTGCTGATGGAAAATCTTCTGATGCTGGAAAACTGTAAGGCCAGCTTTGAACTTCATGTTGCATCTGCATCAGTAGCCGATATAAGCACTTTGGCATCATGCATATACAAAATCCGGAGTAAATTTCAAACCCTTTCACTGCTAAACCTGTATCTTGGCATCATGCCATAGAGCAATAGGATGTCCTCCTTGCTTAACAGAATTAACGTATATAAACACGGGGCCAAAAACTTTCTTCCAGGCTTCGCCTTGAGCAAACTTTGGTATTAGATCATCCCCAGCGTAATGAGAGCTTATAAACATCTGAGAATATCACATTTCACCTTTTAAATGTATAACCGCGGAAAAGTATCCTATTGTTGTGAATTTATTCATCTTGTTGAAAATGTTCATGGTAAAAGTAATGAGTTAGAAGAAAGCTCTTACAGCTAGAGTAGTTGGACCAACATGGGATGTAAGGTTCTGTTTGACAGGTCCACCAGATCGGAATTCATCACTCGGAGTAATTTGCCAGAATCCCACAGGTGGATTCATAGATATCCAGCCGTGGACCTTGTTGTCTTTATTATCACACGAGTACTGGTATTTATCATCGACCTGTATGCACGGGATGAATCAAAGCACAAACCATTTCGCGATAGCAGTCTAATAGTTCTTGAGTCTTTATGAAATTGACAACTAGAAATATTGCTTCTTCGCACAAGTAAAGAGAAG